GGACCAAAAATGAAGGTGATAGCAACCATGCAATAGGAAATACTATAAGTAAGGCTCGCTAACTCTGTTAGCATGCCATCTGACGTAACTCAACAAAACGTTGACGCAAGAAACTGCAGCGAGTGAAGTTACCATGCTGCTGTCGCGGACTTGGACACAATCTTTCGACGAGAATGTGTAGCATGTACAAAGACATGACCCGTCTCCTGATCCCCATAAATAAATGCTGCACGTGACCGCGGGCACCCACGCCAAAATTCACCCGTGAGCCACGAAGCCCTCCTTCCGAGACCATAATGTAAACGCGACGACCACCTCTCCACCACGCCTCGCCGCGGTGGTCTAGTGGCTAAGGTACTCGGCTGCTGATACGCAGGTCACGGGATCGGATCTCGGCAGTGGCGGCTGTCTTTTCGATGGAGGCGAAAATGCTGTGGGCCCGTTTGCTCAGACTTGGGTGCGCCATAAAAACCACAGGTGGTCGAAACTTCCAGAGCCCTCCACAACGGCGTCTTTCATAATCATATGGTAGTTTTGGGACGTTAAACCCACTTATCAGTCAATCACCTTTGCATCCCGTCGTTGTGCGGCTGCCACAGGAGCTCTGTACCCCATCCTCTGTCTCGCTGGGAAATATTACTATTCGTAAGCTTAACCGCTGTCGGTCCACGTGCGGAAGGCAGTGTTTGGTGTACGTGCACAGATGATGTGCTAAGCGTACGCTAATCCCACCACCAAACATGAGTACGTTCGACAACGAATGCAATTCGAGCGCGAGTGATATACGGTACTAATCGCGGATCAAAGTAGACCAGGTCCGCCCAGCCATGCGCAGTCCATTCAATTGATTGGTTGTGTAAATAATCCCTTTGCTGAGTTGGTGTACACCAAGTTGAACCGATATAAGTATGACGAATGTGAAATACAGGCCACAGCTTGTTGTTCATGTCTCTGTAATTCTTAGCTATCGTGATACCTCGGTACCTTTTCATAGTGGTATCATGATGGCCGTTGCAGTATCTTACTATACATGGCAGTTTGAAAGATTAGGACGTAAATACTGTAATGACACGAATTCGATATGTATGATAGAACGATGCTTTCACCGTGGTCGTTTCATCAAAAAATTTGCATCCACCAGAAGGTAAGACTGATGATATGGGCATGAGCATGCTGAATCAGAGTGAAAGAGAATGGGATAAAAGTAAGCGGCAACTGAATGACATGGAACGTGATCAATATCATTAAATTCATGAATTGTACGTCAACCGTGGGATTTATGGCAAGGCTTGAATAGATGTCATTATAGCTGTGAAATCTCAATGTGTGAGACGTCGCGACTGACGAGATATAAAGCTGTCATGACGTGAAGCATACTTGCTCGCATACGCGGAAATCTATTGAGCAAAATGTGAGCTAGTGTTTCGTAAGTATACCAGAACGGGCATACATACATGACAGACAGAATAATGAACGACTTGTCACAAATGAAATTACTTGTTTGTCACGCAATGCATTACATAAACGGTAGTATCAATAAAGAGTCTGCAGAATACACTCATTGCAGAATACCCTTAGTCCACTTCATTCGAAGCAGTAGGCGAGTAATGGCCTATACCACATTTTTTATTGCTTCCAGTCGAAAGTTGTGAATTGGTCTAGCTTTGTGAATTTTGAGGTGTTTTGTGTGTATTGTGGATAGGGCTGTAGAGAGAATTTTTTTGTCGACTAAGGTAGGAAATCACTTGCTGAATACCTTAACTATCTTTATTGAATTTCATTGAATTAGCAACTTTAATAAATTTTGCTGGTAACAAAAGCCCACGAGGAATTGGTATACGTAAGTCAATATTTTTACAGTTACATCAATTCATTACGTTGTTGCAGATTTCATTTTATTGAGTGCATTCTAAAAAATGTCTTGCGAAAATTCATGGTTTGACGCCTTCTAGCTCAGTCGGTGTGAAACTACAGACTACACAACTACAGAAAATTTTCTCCAACGGAAATATATGAGCAGGATGAGTTTCGAACATTGAGAAACATGTGAAATTTTTTTCAGCCGTATTCGTGATGTTCAGAAAAATGCTGGTTGATTCGGCATGGACTGACCCATTCCCCAATATTGACATGGCTTGACATGAGTGTATGAAGAAAATCAATGCACGTGGTAACACGAAAATCGTGCCATGCATGCCATGTATGGCAATATTTAGATACCGCGCTCATGGTGTACTCGCCGCGATTTCGTTATGACATCATAATTTGTAAGATTTGACATCAGTGTAAACAGCTCAACGGCAGGTCGTAGCATGAAAACCACGATATTCTTGTCATGTACGATGCGATTTTTATGCCGTGTTTTTTGGTGCTATCAGGAACAAGTTTTAATGTGGGAGATTTCGTATTGTGGAAGAAAAGTTTATCGACTCATTTTCAGATCATATGACTCGAGTCATGACATGCATGATATGCACGGCATGGTTCACATGGCATGGTCTCGAGGTACTCGTGGTCCTTTGCCTTAAATGAATACATATTGAAATAGGTGTGGCATTGCATGGCTAATTTTCCTTCAGTTATTTATTCAAAATGCCTTATTGAATGACATTGAGTAAGGACACCAATATTTTCATAACAACAATACAGACAGGAAGCAAAAGAGCAAAAAAAATCAAACAAAAACATTATAAAGAAGAATGTGTGAAAAAGTTGTACAATACTGAAAGGTCACAAAATCAAGTTATCACGAAACATTTCACAATTACACATAAACACAATGCAATCTTGAGGACCGTTTCAATGTGCAATGGCTCTATGGTCGGATAGAACTTTCGAACTCCGCGGCGTTTCCTCCACAAAAGCGGATGTTTACAGGTTGTCCCACGTAACTTTGGCCAGAGTTTAAAAAAATACCGCAACACGTAATTACGACGCTACTAAATGCATGTTGCTCACCATTACCTGGAGTTAGTCAGACTTTTCTGTGTTCTCAAATACTGTTTAATTGGATCTGTTAGATTAACTAACCTTTGAAGGAACAAAGACGGATAAAAATTTCAATAAGAAAGTCGTAGATCGGTTTGCAAAACGTCCAAAAAGATAGTTTTGAACTTTATGTCTGTTAAGCATTGCTGTTTTTCTGCTAATTACGAATGTCCACGATATACAAAAAATACCACGTGACAAACCCGCTCGCGTGCCAGTGCGCACGATGATTCTAGTGCTCCCTAACATTCCGCATACGAACTACACGCTTCCCTCTTACCGGTTCATGACGGCAATAAGCATAAAAGTGTGGCAGTTTGGGCTAGTTGGTATGACATTACGATAAATGTAGCGCGCTATAACTTGTTCTCGCGCTATAACTATCGTAAGCGATAAGCAGTAACGGCGGTTATCGTTTTTGCGGCCGATAGCAAAACGTGTTCATCGTAAAGCCACCACCACCAATGCGGCCCTGCCGAGACAGCACAATGGGCACATGCTATGGTGGTTCGTAAGTGACACGGACGGTAGGGAGCACTGGAATCATTGTGCGCACTGGCGCACGAGTGGGTTTCTTGCGTGGTATTTTTTAGATGCGGAAGCATCTTATACTCGCGCCTTGTAGTGCGCCGTCCGCGCCGTCCGCACCGCTTCTCGAACATTCGACAGCTGACGCGCGCGCATGCGCCGTCGCGCCGTCGCGCCGTCTCCTCCTTCTTCCACCATCTGTGCATCCCTTCCTCCTCTACACACCGCGCGCGCTTCACTCCTCCACCATCTGTGCACCCTTCCTCCTCTACACACCGCGTTCGACATCTACAATTCTCCTGATTCTCCAGTGAACGCGCAGGCACCGTCGCGCTTCGAGAACATTCAACAGCTGACAGTGGATGCGCCGTCGCACTGTATATATACTCAAGGTCGGCGCTCGCTCGCTCAGTTGCCGCTCGTCGGTTGGTTTGTACGGCGCGTCGACGTCCAAGGTCGCGGTGAAATGAATTCCAACGAATCCACAAACACAATGATCGACGTCCCTTCGACCAGCGCCGCCCTTTCGCATACGTGTGTACGTGTTCACTCATTTAACACCCCTCCTACAACCACGTTAACCAATTTAGCCATCGACCCAAGTAAGTCGCAATTTAACACCCCATTTCACAACCACGTTAACCAACTTAGCCATCGACCCAAGTAAGTCGCACTTTAACACCCCGTTAACCAATTATATGCTCCGCATCCTCCTCAGTGTTCCCCCGAGGGAAGCTGCGGGCATTTTTTTTACTTCGCGGGCATTTGTAATTAGCAGAAAAACACTAATATCTAACAGATATAAAGTTGAAAACGGTCTAATCGGACGTTTTGCAAACCGACCTACAACTTTCTCATTGAAATCTCTTATATACCTTTATTTAATGAAAATTTAGGTAACTAAACGCATCTGAGTAAACAATATTTGAGAACACAAAAAATCTGACTAACTCCAGGCAACGGTGAGAAATATGCATTTGGTCACGTCATAATTACGTGTTCCGGCATATTTTTAAACTCTGGCGCAAGTTAACTGGGACATCCTCTACAACAAGCCTGCTCCAATCGGCGTCCACTAAGGCTTGACGTCATGAGCCGCGGGGCCAGTAACCCCGACTTCTGGGAATAAGTTTACCTTTCATGATATAACGATTCCTATCATGGAAGGTTCAGACACGTTTTTTTAACGCTTTTTCAGCATTCTGAAGCAGCGAGCACTAGCTAATATTTGTGTTGTTACTGTAACCTCATTAGCAGCATTAAAAAAATTACCGGTTAAATATTTGACTGCTTACATCCTAAACTCGCTACACATGACCACATTGACGGCAAAAGTTTAATGAGTTCGCTTTTTTTTTTTCAGCTGATGTTCACCAAATGTACTGAACCGGATTGTTACTGCAAGCACGAACGATGTAACCACTACGGTACCTGTGATACATTTGTCCCGAATGCCATGCAGATCAGACAGTATCATGGCTTACCTGTCAGTTTGCAGTGTGCTGTTGATCGGACACTCCCAGGTACTCTGAGGTGACTCAGGGATACCCTGGGGTGACCCCAGTGTACCCTGCGGTGATCCCGAATCTCCACTTTTCTGCGACTCGTCATCCGTAGACTGTTCTGGGGATGACGCTGCGCAGCTGCGCCGGGATTCCTTCTTTAACTTCATGCGCCTGTTTTGGAACCAGACCTTGACCTGTTGTTGGGACAGGTTCAACGCATTGGCCAGCTGTGCTCGACGTGTGGAGCACAAGTACTTGTTGTAGCGGAACTCGACCTCCATGTGAAACAGCTGTTCCCGCGTGTATACCGTTCTCGGCCGCTTAAAGCCCTCGGATTTGTTGCCTCCTTGTGCAGTGTCACCTGCAGCGACCATAAATGCACCGTCAAGAACACAGAGCCAGTCGAAAGAATCACACATCCAGCACAGATTACATTGACAAATCTGCCAACCTCGAATATCGGGAGAAAAGATAAAGAGGGGGAGGCACAGAGGGAAGCATGTTCTTTCACAGCTTTTCAAGGTCTTAGTGATGGTTTTAGACTTCAGCAATGACACTGCGGCTTGCAATCATACTGTGCCTATATGCATGCGTAACCTCCTCTGACACATGATGATGGCTTTTTGCTCCGTGTGGACCTTTACGCACTCTTGTTGCATGATCGCATTTGTAGCCCGCACAGCTGTCGGGGGCACAAAAAAGAGAGACAAACGAGCGCTCGTTCGTCTTTCCTTTGTGTTTCCGTCAATTGTGCGTACTATACAAACTTAACCAGGAGTACTTACGAACTCTGCCTAGCTATGAATTTTTTCTGCGTTACAATAATGTACTGCCGCAAACAAGCGTATCCCACGCAATCAAAAACGTTGAGAAGCAATGTTCTTAGCAGTTATTTGTTTTCTGATGATGGTGGCACTAGTGTCTGTTTGTGGGAGATTTATATCTGTGACCGTACAATTGGTAGGACTGCTCGAAATTCGGGAGTCTCCCGTCCAATGCGGGATACTTGGCAGATATACACTGAGTCATTCCGCAAGCTGTATCATCAGACGAAAAAGAGCTTGAAGGTGATATTGGGAAGACCAAGGACGTAATGGAGCCTTGCGACGCAAATTAGGCCCGTCGTTTTGATAGCTTCTTCTGGAACTGGAATACACAGACATCGTCGCTCAATTGACAAGGCGAAAAATGAAGCAGTTATAATTATATTTCAACAAAAAAAAAAACAGAATATTTTCGAACCAGAGCGACACGCAGGGATATTTTGGGAATCGGAAGTGCCGTTTAATCACGTGGGAGTGACGTCATTCACCACGCGTTTCGACTAGCTCGACGCGAGAAATCGCATCTAATATTCATAGGATTCCAGCCATGCCACAATATATTGTGCGCTAAAAGTTGTGCAAGCCCTCTTTGTACTTTGCGAAATACTCGTAGTGTAGTAATATCGCTTTTAAATAAGAAAATTTCGAACCAACTCCAAAACGAAGCCAAAGGCGCTAAACAACTGCCACCGCGAAGCGAGTCTTCCGGAATGTAGCGCGTGGTGATTGCAACCAGCCTTTGATGTCAGTGGGATAGTAAAATGCGAAAGGGGACATTTTTTTCATCGCCTCTTGAGTATTGAAGATAAAATACTAAAAACATCCGTTGCCGTGCACCAATTTCAATACTTCTTGTTACGTTTATCTCAGTACTACGCACACTCCAGCGCTGCAGAACTCTGACGGGAAAAAAAAACCTTCTAGCCCAAAATGCGCTAACCTGCAATTAACCCGAAGCATTGTTACCAACTTGTGCTGATGCGCTGATGACGATTGATCGCACCGGTGACGATGACGACGTAGACAACACCACCACGTTTTGTTTGTCTGCAAACGCCGTTTTCACTCCTTTGTGTCTCACAGTTGCGGAGCTGTTTGCTCGACGTGCTCCAGGAATCGTCCGCATTGAGCGAAATGCGGCCAAGTATGACCGAACGGGCGCAGTTAGGTGCCATTAAAGAACTCTTAGACTAGCACAGGGTAAAGTTTTAACTTAAAGAAAGAAAAAAAACAGCATTTACTTACAGAACTTTTTTCCTTACTGTCCGTACAGCAAGTTCTATTTCGAAAACGAGCCCTTGAGTATAATACACTTCTTTCCCTTACTCGTTAACGAGGGTCTCTTACTGGCAGACTTGGTGCTCTAGGTTGTCTACGAGGGACTGTTGGTCAGCTGGCAGCCCTTCATAAGTTCACGTGTTACGCGACGCCACACAGGCTCATAAAAGAGTGTGCCTCACTCGCGGTCATGGCTACTGGTGGAGCTGACAGACACTCCCACGTTTAAAGTCACAGATATGCCCAATAAAGTGGCTGGGAGGATAGCCGCCGTGGTAGTTCAGTGGTAGAGCATCGACCGCACTGTTCGATGGTCGCTGGTGCGGTTCCTATTCACGTTTTTTTTTTTTTGCTTCACAATTACATTGCGACTCGGTCTAATAACTTCCGCTATACTTTCCTTGGCATTATTGGCACGGTTAGGTACTTTAGACCCAACTCTCAGTCTTCGAATTCCTCCGGAATTACGCCGACGAGACGCTACTATGCTGTGCAGATTATGGTTGGGCGTCGCATTTACCAATGCGTACGCGTTCCGCGTAGAAATGGCTGACACTGCTGCATGCGACCATTGTGGCAGTGATGAAACAACTTGGCACATTCTGTGTGAATGCCCACAATACTGCTCGCAGAGACAGTCACTCTGCAATGCACTACACGAACTGGACAACCAGCCTCTTTCAGAAGAAAGACTCCTGTGCTGCCGACAGGACTTTATGTCGCAGAAGAAGGCTGTGAAGGCGCTCATGCGTTTCTTGCGTTCAACCGGCCTGTCCAAACGACTGTGATCGGAACTCCTTGAATTTGTGCACATGTGTTTTTTTTTTCTAATTTATTTTATACCTCTCTATATCTATCCTCTTTCCGACCCTTTTTCCCACCCCCATACAGGGTAGCACACCAGTTCGTCTAAGTTACCCTTACTGTCTCTTCCTTTTAATTATTTCTCTCTCTCTCTCTCTTGTCTCGTAAATTCCATTTTATATTTTTATATATATATTAACTGTTCTTGCAAACTGCGCATATTCGTGGCACATCCCACATATCAAACAATATTCGTGACACGAGGCCGTCGACTTGACGCCTGCCGGTGCCTTCGTCATCGCTGTCCACATATCTTCATTCATTGCATCATGATCGCATGTGATGCGAGTGCCGGTCAACGAAGCCTGAGAAAGAGACGCATTTTGCCGCATTCTTTCGATGAACGAAATACAAAATAGCAGACACTGAAGTGCGCAGCAACACCACGTATTATAGTTACGGCTAGCAGTTATTGCAAATACGCGTTGCGTCCGAACAGTATATTTTGCCAATGATTTTACTCGGCCCTTTTGGGTTGCGTGTGAATGCACGAATTTGCGGGACTGAAACACACACGTGAAGTGCAAACGTACAAGTTGTATTTCGAAATGCGCGTGACCTTTCATACACATGCCAAAAACTCTGCCCATGTATCGTGCTTTCGAATGACATGTGGGCACTACTACTCCGATACGCCATCTCTTTTGCAGACAGAACAATGGGTGGCTCACTGATTATTTCTTTCTTCAATCATGTCGTTTCATTCTAGCTTTTAGCTAGGATGGTGCAGTGTTCAAACATTCGTCTGCACCGGCAATACCTGCGGTGGATTGCCAACCAGTCACGTGCTATATTCTTAACATTATTAGCGTGCTCACGTAGCCTATTGGTAATACCACTGGATGATTGTCCTATGTCAAACTTTGTTCACTGTCCGTACAGCAACTACATCAGCTATGCTTGTGTCTTCGCTTCTGCGAAGCAAACCAGCAGAAAAAAAATAAAACACATCAGCTTCACTGCATTGACATTCCATTTCTTCTCATTTCTCTCCATCTGGGTCACTTAACATTCAACGGTGATTAACCGCTCTACCTCAGCAGCGAACACTAGGTACGCATGAGTGAGGAGAATGGGAAAAATTGCAGGCACCTTTCTCCTCTCTCTCTTAAAGCCCGCGTGCGTCATGAACGAGCAGAGCGGAGAACTAAAATCATTACGGAGCAAAAGGGCTTTGGTACCTATTGCTTATTCAGGCGGGATTGCTTAATTATGCAGCTCCATTCAAGGGCTCAAAGCAGGCTCGGCACAGCGCCCTCTTCGAGATTCTCGTGTTTCCTTTAAGACGCGCGTGTCAGCGGAAGGTCCTCACTGGTGTACTTCTCCGAATTCGAAACTTCGCCACGCGAGGCTCTAATCGTTGGCCGTCTGATTAAGATGGTCGCTGAGAAGCTGTTGAGCCGTGGAAAGAGAAACGCTCTCAGTGGATACGTGTGTTGAAGCTCCTCGCTAATTGGCAGGCCGTCTTCGAGCTAACGTCTCCATAAATCTTTCTCTTGACTTTTTCCCGTTTTATCGCTGGCTTTGTTTCACTTTCGTTTCGCCACACCTTTCGCAGGCTCGTCTCTCAAGCTCTGTGTTCATCTTTTCTATGTTCCTCCTGAACTTTTCTGCTCTCCTCAGTGATGTTATAAAAACTTGTGTCAGCTTCGCAAAGGGGCTCCCTCGTTCCTTTCAAATGACAGTTTTGCTTTTGCTATCCGATTTCGTTTCTGCCGTTCGCTTTGAGCCTGTTTGCACGACGCTGCCTCGCTCTTGCTTCAGAAATGCTGTCACAGTTCCCTTTCTCTCTCACTCTCTCTCACTTTGTGATGCGAGATTCGCTGCCTATGTCTCAACATTGCCCTTTCTTTTTCCAAATCTCCTTCTCTCTCATTCTCATTTTTGTTCTCTGAAACCCCCGAGTGCCTTGTACAGTCGCTTGGCGCCGTGTGTAACAGGGAAACGCCATTATGCCGTGTGCGTTTCGGTGTGCTCTGCGCCCACCGTGGCCGGCATCTCGCGAGACGTATTGCGCGGGGAGCAACTCATTTCGTACAAGAAAGTTTAATTAGAAAACACTTTCGCTATATGGTTCGCGACTACGCGATTAAACGCTTCCCTGTCCTCCCGGGAATCGAGGAACATTGAAACGAGTGCGGGTATCCTGGGCCGTTCAGCAACGTTCGTATCGTATTGCCACAAGTGAAAAGCGTTGTTCTGCTACATTGTTTCTTTCATCGCACATATTCGCACACAGCGACCTCTCAGAAAAAAAAAATATTAGGTGGTTCCGGGTGCGTCGCTATTTAAAGAGGCAGCGTTGCTATAATTTTAGAGCACATTCTGCTTCTTAAGCGATTCATTCAATTCGTAACCATGTGCACTCATAAATTCATGAAGGGTAATTTTCTTA